CAGTTTTTCTCAATCGATTTAACACATTTCTCCAAGCTCAGGTCACTGTTCTCAAAACAGTTAACACAGTGAAGTTCTGAACACTTTGTAATTGTCCTAAACAGACTGTACGTTTTCATTAATTTCATACAAATTACAAATCATGCAATTAATTTTCTCAAAACCATGTGTACAAAACTCTCAAATGTTTTCACAATGGTTACAGTTTTTCTCGATTGCTAACACACAATTCATGAAACGATTCACCATTTGCTCACACAATCTCAAAACTACACACCAACTTGTGCAAACTTCAGACTTCCAGGTCAAAATCAAATAGTTTAGTTAAAAACATGTTCTCTTTTGTCAGACTCAAACGTTGGCCTCAGATGACACACAAACCTGCCAAATACACAGACTACTTCACTGCCTAGAGAACACTAGTGAGATCACCAGAAAACACTGTTACAAAAACCTCCTTTTGGAAAATTGGAATCCTTTTGCTAGTCAATGTCTGTTACAGTATTCGACATAAATAGAGGGGTAAAATTCAGCATTAAACTGTAAGAAACGTTTACTGTCATTACACTACTGTAAAGAGATCTTACAGTAAATGAAAAGCACTACAAGAGAAAAGTTCAAAGAGCAAACAACTGAATATACAGTAAACACACATTGAAATATACTGTCAGTTACTTTACAGAAATAAATAAATAATGAATGAATGAATAAACTGTTCATTCATTCATTATTCGACTGTTTAAGCAAACTATTAAAACGTAAACAGACCCTGAGCCTCATTTGCAAACTATAACTGTAATTAACTCTCACTGGAAGGTCAAGAAGTTCAACAGTGCTGCATTATTGTTATTGGATTGTGCTCACACTCGTAAACGCACTCATTAGTGAGCGAGTGATTCATGTGTGACCTTTATGCTGCTCATGACCTCATGTTTTCATGTAAGAAGTCACCGAGTCTCGACAGGTGTCTGATGAAGATGATGTTTGATGAGACTCTTGTCGTCTGCAGGTTTCTGGACTCCATCATCGTCTCTGCTGCTTCACTGCACTGATGCAGAAATCATGGACCAACGTTTGGACACAAAAGACCTTTTATCTCGGAGAATTCCTGCAGCGGGAGTTCTTTTAAATAGAGATTTTACAGGTCACTGCTAATATGATGGCCGCTGGACCTTCAGCCCGACCTGTTCTGAGGTCAGTGAGTCAAATGCAAGAGGTTTTAATGCAGCGCTTCGATTTGATGTACTTTACTTCGGAGAGAATGTGAGAGAGAGTCTTTACTGTCACTTTTGATCAATTTAATGTGTTGACTGTATTATAAGTATACAAAGTATACACTTGATTAAAATATGGCTAGCTGTGAAACCAATATTCAATTAGTTAAAATGCATGAGATAAATAGCTTTTGTGTATGTAAAGCACATTGAGTTTATTAGTACTATTACAGAAATCTGAGCTGTTTCATTCATGTGTGACTGTCACTAATGCTTCACATTAAGTTTATTAGTTTATGTTAAAACTGTGTAATCCAAATGCATGGAAATATTATATGCAATTCAAATACATAAATCTTAAATTGAGGTCCAAATATTTTTAGTGCATAAAGTAAACAGTAAAACAATTCAGTAACGGTAAGTGCAAAATTCATTCTGCAACGCATGCTGGGCGTTCACAAGCCCTACACCTCCACAGCATTGCTCAGCACTGAAGTGCTTGTTTGGGGAATTCTGCTGCTCTAACCAGTGCTTTTACGTCACATTTCTTAGTATTTGTGACTCAAAAGGCCCGTATGCTGGATAAAATGTAATTGCTTTTTTGACAGTGCAAAACCCACGATAGACGTCACGAGGAGGTTTTCATGCGCTGTTGAATTCATCGCCTCAGACAGATAAAGTTCTCCAGAGCTTCAAAGCCTGAATGACTCAACAACTCTGACCCGAAATCACCTGCCACGTCATACAGGCTGGCAGTTCAACTTTAAACAAACAGAAGAAAAACAGCACATTTAGTTTGCAGTTGAAGCATAATTATTTTGCATACCATTTAATTCAGTCATCAAACAAACCATATACAGCAAGACAACAGAACCAGAGCAAACCCTTCAACAAGAAACATTTTACTTCTGTAATGATTTTACCCAACAGGAATTGACTGAAGCGACTTGTGTGTGTTTGCTAAATCAATACCTGAATAGCTTTTTGACTATTGATTAACATCATCCAACAGCACCACGTCATCAGGTTTGGAGAAATGTAGCATTGCATCAGTGTCTCAGCAATGGATGCTCTGCAGTGAATGGGTGCCGTCAGAATGAGAGTCCAAACAGCTGATAAAAACATCACAATAATCCACAAGTAATCCACTGGAAGCAACACTGGAAGGATTTGTTTCAGCTTCTCCAGATGTTAACTGATGGTCTGGAGTGCTGTGGATTACTTGTGATGTTTTTATCAGCTGTTTGGACTCTCATTCTGACGGCACCCATTCACTGCAGAGCATCCATTGCTGAGACACTGATGCAATGCTACATTTCTCCAAATCTTTCAGTTTTGGATGAACTATTCCTTTAATATTGTGAATGTCATTATTCTGTTAAATTCATTTCACGTTTTGTTCTCATCTGATACTGGAAAGTCAAACTTTAAAAATACAAATATTTTACTCAGGGCTGCTGAGACCCTTGTGACTGGCATCAGGAAAATATAACGTAAATACAAATATTTAGTCATCCAGAAATTCTCATTCCTCTGTTATGATAGACCTTGTGTGCATGATGGATTTTTCTAGATTGAATTAATTCTCCATAGTTGATCATTTCAGACATGAAATTAACAAAGACAAATGACTTTATTTTGGCTCCCAGGATGAACAAATCTTTCTAAAAAGCTCATCTTGCTCTCATGCATGATGACTGAGAGCGTGTTTATCACTGAAATCTCAATGAAATCATGTGAGAGCTGTAATGCATGTTTAATCTGAGGTGGGTTTGTGATTGTGATGGCATTAGTGTGTTTCAGCACATCTTCTGTCCTCTGTTCGGAGGTGTGGCTACTGAAGGAGGTGAAGGTTTCTCTCAGGGTTTAGTGGAGGTTAAGGTCAGTGTTAGGGTCATTCTGCTGATTTCTCTACTCAGAATCAGTGGGACTTTAAAGCTTTAAACACCTTGGAAAAAACTCATTTGTATGCATGCATGTGGAAAAGTTTTTTTTCTTGTGCTGGTATTAAATAAAGGAATAATTCACTCAAAAATGAAAACAAACCGCAGCACTTTACAACAAAGTCTCATTTGTTATCATTAGTTAATGCATTAAATACAATGAACTTGCAATGAGCAATATATTTCCATGGCATTTTTAACCTTTGTTAATAAAATGTAAACAAACAAATAAACACAATTATTTAATAATAATAATAATAAACAAATAAATAAAGAAAATGTATTTACAGCTATATGGTATTATATGAATATTAAATAAGTGTAATATATTATATGAATTTAAAAGACTAACAGATAACAAATGAGACCTTATTGTAAAGTGTAAACAAAAAACCAAACAAATAAATAAAATGTTTTTAATAATAAATAAATGTTATCTTAACCCACAAGCTGTTATCTGACAGAAATGTGATTTTTTTTCTGAACTTTTCCTCTCATCTTTAATCATGTCTTTCGAAGAATACGTTCTTGTTCCTCTTGAATGAAATAAAGAAAATGTATTTACAGCTATATGGTATTATATGAATATTAAATAAGTGTAATATATTATATGAATTTAAAAGACTAACAGATAACAAATGAGACCTTATTGTAAAGTGTAAACAAAAAACCAAACAAATAAATAAAATGTTTTTAATAATAAATAAATGTTATCTTAACCCACAAGCTGTTATCTGACAGAAATGTGATTTTTCTCTGAACTTTTCCTCTCATCTTTAATCATGTCTTTCGAAGAATACGTTCTTGTTCCTCTTGAATATGGCCTTGGAGGCAAAGCCAAACTGAATCCTATCTTGTAAATGGAGCCGTTATCTTCGCCTCTGTCCTTCAGCGGCTCTATAAAACTGTCCCGCAGCCTCCTCCTCCTCGCCATCTCAGCGGGAGCCAACATGCTGCGGGCCGTCCTGAAGCTGTAATGCATGTTTAATCTGAGGTGGGTTTGTGATTGTGATGGCATTAGTGTGTTTCAGCACATCTTCTGTCCTCTGTTCGGAGGTGTGGCTACTGAAGGAGGTGAAGGTTTCTTTCAGGGTTTAGTGGAGGTTAAGGTCAGTGTTAGGGTCATTCTGCTGATTTCTCTACTCAGAATCAGTGGGACTTTAAAGCTTTAAACACCTTGGAAAAAACTCATTTGTATGCATGCATGTGGAAAAGTTTTTTTCTTGTGCTGGTATTAAATAAAGGAATAATTCACTCAAAAATGAAAACAAACCGCAGCACTTTACAACAAAGTCTCATTTGTTATCATTAGTTAATGCATTAAATACAATGAACTTGCAATGAGCAATATATTTCCATGGCATTTTTAACCTTTGTTAATAAAATGTAAACAAACAAATAAACACAATTATTTAATAATAATAATAATAAACAAATAAATAAAGAAAATGTATTTACAGCTATATGGTATTATATGAATATTAAATAAGTGTAATATATTATATGAATTTAAAAGACTAACAGATAACAAATGAGACCTTATTGTAAAGTGTAAACAAAAAACCAAACAAATAAATAAAATGTTTTTAATAATAAATAAATGTTATCTTAACCCACAAGCTGTTATCTGACAGAAATGTGATTTTTCTCTGAACTTTTCCTCTCATCTTTAATCATGTCTTTCGAAGAATACGTTCTTGTTCCTCTTGAATATGGCCTTGGAGGCAAAGCCAAACTGAATCCTATCTTGTAAATGGAGCCGTTATCTTCGCCTCTGTCCTTCAGCGGCTCTATAAAACTGTCCCGCAGCCTCCTCCTCCTCGCCATCTCAGCGGGAGCCAACATGCTGCGGGCCGTCCTGAAGCTCTGCTGTGGAATCACATACCCACATCTACGGAGCATGGCAGGTGCCTGACTGTAGCTTCAGCTCGATGCACGAGCTTGTGTTTGTATTGTGTTTTATTTATGGTGTCTCTTCCATCCTGCAGGTCTGCAGCGAGCAGCTCTGGTGGCGTTCATCCAGGAGATCGCACACTTGCAGAGCCGAGGACAAATAGTCCTTCCAGCATGGAGCCCTTTGAGATGGACTGAAAGTGAGTCTGTGCATTCATATTTAACTTCACTTTCCATCCAATACTCCAGCAGAGCTGCAGTTCAGTTCAAAAGTTTGAAGTCAGTAAGATTTTTAAAAATGGTGAGCATAAAAAGTCTCTCCTGCTCACCGAGGCTGCATTTATTTGATCAAAAATAAATTCTATACAGTAAAAATTGTGAAATATTATTATAATTTAAAATATCTGTTTTCTATGTGAATATCTGTTGAAATATAATTTATTTCAGTGATGCGCAGCTGTATTTTCAGCATCATTACTCCAGTCTTCAGTGTCACATGATCTTCAGAAATCAGTATAATATGCTGATTTGCTGCTCAAGAAACATTTCTGATTATTATCAATGTTGAAAACAGTTGTGCTGCTCAGTATTTTTGTGGAAACCGTGATGCATTTTATTTTTCAGGATTCACAGATGAATGGAAAGTTCAAAAGATCAGCATTTATTTTAAATAGAAGTTTTTTGGAACATTATAAATGTCTTAACTGACACTTTTGATTAATTGAATGTGTCCTTTATGAATAAAAGATTAAGTTCTTTCAAATACAAGAAAGTAAGAAAAATAAACACTGAAAATGATCCAAAAAGCATCTTCAGATTTAATGATCTGACTGTCACATGATTAATAACACTCATTTACTTACATTTGATCATTCACATAGAAACACTGCAGAATCTGAAATATTTATACTTCATTTGATATATTATTATTTAGATTTTTCAAAACCCTATAACCTTTATATGAATGTCTTCAGAGACAGAGGCGGTGGAGCAGAGGACGGCTGCATTGGCCGATGAGGACGTGTTTTATCTGAAACAAGGAGAAGCAGCGCTGAATGAAGCTCTGAAGATCGTGGAGTCCGAGGACGGATGGAAACTGGAGACGGCCGAGGTATTCGTCTGTGAATGTAAAATGTTCTCTTGGTGTGCAGATCACCAGAATGTGTTCTCACAGAAAATAATGAACGTCTTTTTCCTTCAGAAGAATGGAGATGTGATCTATAGCAAAGTTCTCACTGGCAACAGGAAGGTTTTCCGATTAGAGGCCGAACTGAACTCGTCTCCAGAGGAACTTCACAACATCTTGTTCTTCAGAGTGGAGGAGATGCACGAATGGAACCCCAGCATCAGACGCATCAAAGTAAGACATACTTACTTCGTATGACTTTTTTTCACTACATTACAATTTTTTCAGTTAAAATCAACAGCTAGCTTAACACATGCTAACTGTAACTTCTTTAGCATGTGAATTGAATGAAGAAGTAAGATATTACTAATCACTGGCATTACTCACAGAGTCATTACAATGTTTACCTTCATCTAGCTTCAGCACGAAAATGTCAACATAAGAGAAACTCGGACATATAACAGCATTAAACATGATCTCTCCCTTCACCATAAAACACATAAAATAACACTTATTTTTAACAGTTTTCTCCTTGTTCAGTTCTATGCAAAGCATGCTGGGAACTAGAAATCTACTGTTAACAAGACTATTTTATCAAGTTACTACAACTTAATTTTTTTTAACTTAACACATAATGCACAATGAACACATTATGTCACCAGAACTCATCAAAATAATTTTGCCAACTAAAAAGGTTTTATTAAATCCATTAACTTGAATTTATAACTGCATGTGCATTTATTTACAGTTTTTTATGATCGCTATAGGACACATTTCTCAATACTTAGGTCACTTTTTCCAAAACTCTTCACACGGCGAGCACAACATCAGTCTATGTGCATGGGCTAAACTGTGACTCATTTATCATTGCTTCGGCACATCTGTCAAATTACGTGAATTCTTTTATCACTCTGACGCAAACACCAAAACTTTATGTACTATACAAGCCAGTTTGCATACTGTTTTCAAAACTGTTAAAGTTCAAAACCTATCACAGTGCAAAAATAAGACTTTATTTCTACAGTAATATATAGAAAAATATTCTGAACGTAAAAAATCAAATAGGCTACTATCAAAGCAGTTGCATGTAGCTGAACATCTTCACAAGTGTTAGTCTTTTCCTTTCATTACCATCTTTACAAAAGAGGAAAACTTAGGAATAATTTTGTACTCTAATGCCAACAATGTAACATATTAATTATAAACAGTAGAGAGTGTCATTCTTGTTTTGTAAAGACATTTTACAAAAGGCAGAGTCTTAACTTTGATAAAGAATATCTCTTTGGTTTTGAGACTTTAGTCTTTGCTACTTCAGGGATCTTATCTATGCACAATCAGCTTGTAACACTCCAAAGAGAAAGGAAAACTTGAAATCGCATCATATGACCCCCTTTAAAGTGTGTCGCCATTCATTTAGCCAACCTTTATGAACGATTCTAAATCTTGCTTTTTAAAATAGCTCATTTATTCACCCTCATGTTGGTCCAATCACACGTGACTTAACTTTCTTCTGTGAAAAGCAAAATAATGTGTTTGGCAAAATAATGCATGAGCTTGTTTTCCTCCAAACCGATCGCAAACGCCATTTCTTTGAGATTTGAGAATTAAAAAAAAATAAATTTAACCGATTAATATTTGGCTGTTTGTCGCACAAAGCTGTTTTATGAATTCAGAAGACTTTGCATACTAGCGCGCGAGCCGTATGCGCGACTGTTATTGCGCTTTTTTCATGTTTTTGTAGCACAACAGTATAAATCACCATCCATTTTTGTTTTCATAAAAACTTTAAATTTCAATTTATTTATAAAGCACAACTAAACACTTGTAATGGTCTGGGTGTCTGTCCCTTTAAGACTCTGATTCTGGGTTTCCTCTGCTCCTGCACTCATGTGTATATGCTGGGGAAAACACATTGTACTTTCTATGGTTTGGTTGCACCTTCCTTTCACATTAATACATAGGTTGATGGGGACCTGCATCGTGTGTTTCTTTCTTTCATAACGCACAATAGGTTACACACAATTTGAAAATACAATTTGCAATTCCTTTTGAAAATAGTCCAGAATATCCTTCCATAAAACACAACCACCGTTGACCAATGTGCTGTACACAATAAATAACCATTAACAGAAATAAAACAAAGACAAGGTTACAAACAAAACTGCAAAACAAAAAAACATTTACGCTTAATCAATAAGGGTTTGTCCTGTGAATTATTTCATATACATTTTGATTAGAAGTTACTAAACCAGACATAATCTGAAAGTGTTTTCTGATGGTAAAGACATTCTGTAAGTGTGTGTTTGGTGTTTGTTGTGTTCAGAGCTGAAGATGGACCCACCTGCATCATCCTGCAGCCGCTTCAGGACCGTCCCGACCGCAGTCGCTTCATCTGGCTGCTCAACATGGACGTCAAGGTACAAAACATGCACATGTGTTATGATTTATGATTTTACTAGTGCTGTCAAACAATTAATCACATCTAAAATACAAGTTTGTGTTTAAATAATATATGTGTGTGTACTGTGTGTTTATTATGCATAAAAAAAATGCACACATATGCATGTATATATTTAAAAAAAATTGCATGTGTATTTATATATAATTTATATTATATATAAATGTAACATATTTTCTTAAATATATGGATGGATGTGTGTGCATTAATATACACATAATAAACACACAGTACACACATATATATTATGTAAACACAAACTTGTATTTTGGATGTGATTAATCGTTTGACAGCACTAGATATTACTGACCAGCAGATGTTACATGCTGTATGATTGTCAAAGTTGAAAATAAAACATTTTACTAGACTTTCAGTCTTTCTACTTCAGAATTTCATGTTTAATTCAGTGTTACTCTTTGATATTATTTGTGAACTTTACTACTGATTTTTGAGTGAAAAAAGTTTGTACAGCTCATGTTTCCAGTGTAGAAGATTCCCTGATGTATTTCTGCAGTCGTGTGTTGAACGTGTCCTTGTGTGTTCAGGGTTGGCTCCCGCAGTCACTAGTGAACAAGGCTCTTCCTCGAGCACAAGCGGACTTCACTAAACACCTGCGGCGCCGGCTGGCCGCTCAAAACTCAGAAAACAGCAGATGCTGAGAGTCAGACATCAACACTGACGACGATATAGGAACACAGACATGCAACATACACCTCAGAGTAGAACTACGATGAAATTGATCTGACAATATAAAATGGCAATAAAAAATATTTTTCACTGGAGTGTTATTTCAATATCATTTTAAGTAAATTTTTTAAATTTTTATATTTGAAGTTTTTAAATTTTATATTTCTGTTTTCATTTTAGTTAAAACTATTAAAGGGGTCATATGATGTTGCTAAAAAGAACATTATTTTGTGTATTTGGTGTAATGAAATGTGTTTATGTGGTTTAAGGTTAAAAAAACAAATTATTTTCCACATACTGTACATTATTGTTTCTCCTCTATGCCCCGCCTTTCTGAAACACGTTGATTTTTACAAAGCTCATCGTTCTGAAAAAGCGAGGTGGGCTGTGAGCGATTAGAAAAAAACATTAAAACCCATTATAAACGAGGCATTCGTTGCATCCAGTGGGGACATAATTACTGATTATAATGACTTATACCGTCTTTTTACGCATTGCGTTTCGTATCGCGCCGCGTAAACATAAAACATGTCTGCATTTGTGATCGGAGAAATGACAAACAACAAGCGCTACTCTACACTGCTCAAAACTCACGTTTGAATAGTCAGTGGCAAATCCTTTAAATATAAAAACGTACTTCCAGTCTGTGAGTCAGAACAGCCGGCATTGTAGTCTACTCTCCCAGGATCAGGAGACAGTCCTCCATAAAATGTGCTGCACACATCTGAATATTTGGGTTGAAGTGTTCTGGAACAGTGTTGTAAATACAACTTAACACTGATTTCTAGTCGTGTTCTCTTTTGGAAGACCAAACAAAGTAGTTTCACTTTCACAACGAAACACAGCGTCTTCACGACATGGCGGCGGCAACAATACTTCAGCGAGAATAAAAGTTACGCCTTCTTTCTTTGCGTGAACATTTGGGAGGCGTTATGCAAATCTTCCCACATCGTGAGGTAGACATGTGGGGGCGTGTTAGAACGAGGCGTTTTAGGTAGGCGTGGCTGACTCTTAACTTTTATAAAGAATATCTCTTTGGATTTGAGACTTTAGTCTTTGCAACTTTACAGATCTTCTTTATGCACCAAGAGCTTGTAACACTCCAAAGAGAAAGGAAAACTTGAAATCGCATCATATGACCCCTTTAATGTAATGTTACTAGCTTATATATATATAAATAATTTAAAATAATTACGTTTTTTTAATGGTCTCTTTTAGATAACTATAATAACTGTTTCATAGTAATGCTTTGTTTTTGTCACAATTACAATTCTGAGATGTAAACTCAAATGAAATCTGACTTTTTTTCTTGGAATTCTGAGTTTAAATCGTGCAGTTCTGTTTTTGTATCTTTTGCGACTTACCTCACAATTTCCCTTAAAACAACAACAACAACAGGAAGTTATTAAAGAAGATAAACAACTGCTCATGAAATTGATTTGACCACATAAACAACAATAAAAAAAAAACGTTTTTCACAGCGTTATTTTAGTACCATGTTTTTTTATTTTTCACATTTTATTTTATTTTTTAAATTTGTAGTATTTTTTATTGTAATTTTTTTTTTAAATGTCTATTTAGTTTATTTTTTTATTTCATTTTTAGTTAATTTAGTACATCAAGTCAATCTAAATGAAAATGAGAAATGCCACCTTGGCAAACAGCTGAAAGAAGTTTATTTCAAGTAACATTTTTTTAGTTTTAGTTTTAGTTAACTATGATAACCCTGATTCTGTATTTTGTGTCTGATTTTGTGCTTCACATACTTAAACCAAAAATGAAAGTTTAAATGAGTTGCAGTGATGGAAACGAGACAAACGGCAGCATACAGTTTTGGGTGAATAATGGCCGAATGAATAGTTTTTTTATTAAAAATATAAAAATTAAATAATTAAAAATTAAGTAATCATTTTGACTTTCTCAAATAAATATTTGCAACTAACTCAAATCGCATGAAAGTTTAAAATGTTCAACATTCACACTGTGCAGATTCACAGTGGCTGAACAGAAAAAGTTTAACATTTTCATTGATATTTGCGTTATGGTTATAAATGATGAACTGAATTCATGAGTTGGTCTCTGAGCTCTGCTGCTGGCTGATATTACAGATGCACTTTTAAACATTAAAAATCAATGCAAAACAAATCTATACTGAACAGCTATGAAACAACTCGTTTCTGCAGAGATGAATGGAGATTGATTAGTTTCACATCCGTCTGCATTTTGACTTCAATTCTTTTACAATCTATCTTCCTTCCAGATGTCATAATCAATCAAAACCAGTCCAGATCTGCTGGTGCAATAAAACCTAGACTTACTAGTACACACTTAGATACTCTTATTTTAAAATTGCATCATGAGTTCATTAATATTTGATTTATTAATGCATTCAAATCGTAATGTCGTAATGCCCTGTAAATAACCAATTTTCTATGGAAACCATAGAAATAAAAACCTTTTTAACTCACAATTCTGACTTTTTTTCTCAGAATTTAGTTTATATCTTGCAATTGATTCATATTTATATATAAATAAAATGAGCAATTACCTTTTCATTTATCTCATGGCTTTCATTTTAGTCATATTGTTTGCTGATGGGGAATTAGAGAAATATCAGATATTAGTGTGTTTCATGTCATGTATAAAAAATATATTCTTACCTTTTAATCCAGTAAAAATATTCTACACTGGTTAAACCTGACGTATTGAATGTGCAAATAAACAAATAATCTGAAATAAAAACTCCACTTTTTTTTCCAATGTGTATATTTTCATGTATTTCATCATCCTACAACTTAAAAATGTAATAAATATTAACACTTAAAGCTCTCAATCATGTATATACAAGTACTATACAAAACAGAAATTAGATGAAACTACGTGAGAGACGGCAGACCTGACGCTCTCGCACCTTCTGAAAACCTGCAGCTATTTACAGTATATACAAAAGCACCGAGTTTAACAGCAGATGCGAGCTGAAGAACACAGACTCACACACACAGACTGCAGGCGATGGTTAGAGCCGGCTGCTGTTGTTTCACAGGTGCGTGTCGTCACATTGATGAACATCAGGAGCACCAGGAGGCGGCGAGAACCACGAGTACACTAGCTTTGTAACTCTTCAGTAGATCGGTGTAGTTCAGCTTCATAAAAATGAGCAAAAGAATATGAAAATATGACTGAAATACATTAATGGCTATGAACAAAATAGAATACAGGCCAGTGTTGTTGTATTATCATTTACATACTATTACAGTATTTTATATATATATATATATATTTGAACATATTTCAAATTAACTTTTAAAGTTTCATCTATTATATATATATATATATATTAACTCTTTTATATTTTTAGGTTTTTTTCATTTTAATAATTAAATTTTAGTCATTGTAATACTTCAACTTCAAATTATTTCAGTTTTTATTATGATTAAATTTCTCCATCTATTACACACACACATATATATTTTTTTATTTTTAATTAATATATGGCCTTCCTATTTTACGTTTGTGAAATAAAATGTGCTGATTGTTTCAACAACAAAAAAATTCATAGTAAAAACGTTTTGCATTCTTAATCTAATTTATTGTAAAAATGTCTGAATTTCTGGAAGGCAAGTCAAATAATGAGTTTAACAAATCCCAATAAAGCTCGTTAAGTGCATTGTGGGGGCACTGTATTAGACACTAAATTAATCACAGGTTTCTGTAATTAATCACATCAAACGGCAAAAGGATTTAAGGAAAATAATGTTATGTCAATTATATTGAACGTGTTATTTTTCTCAGGTCATTGGGGGATTTTAAAAGTGAAACTGGTCGATCGCAAAACTACACCAGAGTTACAAAGCAAACACGCGCAGCTAGACTTCAAAATAACACAGCTACGATCTACACGAGCGAATAATGACGCACTGCAGCCACAAACACGCTGAAGACGTGTCTAGTAGTCCTGAAGACACAAAACAGCACGCATTGAGCCGGAAGCCACTGCATTTCAATAACAGCACCGGTCACGGTTTCTCCCGTTTCCACACACGGTGACGTGGGCTCGTTCTGAGGTAACCAGCAGCTGCTGCGTGATTGGTTCGTGATCATGTGACCGGCGAGTCCCTGGTTTGGCGGGTCGAGGCGAGCGAGCCCTGGATCTGGAGTGCGTCTGGAGGTAGAGATGAGGGACAGGGAGTGCTCTCGTCCGCTTTAGGGCTGGAGGAAGTGAGCCGAGGTCTCCTGCTAGCTGCTTTAGTGGTGTGGACGAGCGGAGCCGCTGTAGACGGAGGCACAGTCGGATCAGGACTCGTTTGAGGCAGAGGAGGGAAGGTGAAATCCGGAAGCCATGAGAAGGGAGGATGAACGTCTGGAGAAAGCGTACTGAAAGCCATCCTCCTGTTACAGGACTCGCAGCAGAGCTTCTGATAACCCGGGATGGAGCAGTAGCGCGCCAGAACCTCCATCTGACAGAAGATGGACTTATCACCCAGACACGGCTCATCTGGAGGATCATAAATGGATAGAAGATGTTTCAATATATTGTTATAAAATACAACAGAATCGTGAAAAATAGCAATAACTAAAATACAATAAAATAAATGTAATAAAATACACATATTGATGTATTTATATTTAAATTAGTAGTTATAAATTTACATTTACAGTAATTAATAACATTTATAAAAACAAATTTGAATGAAATTAATACAACACAAATAAAAATATATTTACGAAATTACATATATTCGTATATTTATTAAATTTACATAAGCATTCTTTCTTTATCTATCTATCTATCTATCTATCTATCTATCTATCTATCTATCTATCT